AGCGCTTTACATATATATTGTACATTCACAACCGTCCCTAACCCTCAAGTGGCGTACAATCTAAGGTCCATAAACTCACATTCATACACACACATACTAGGGCCAATAACATAACACTTTAGAAGTGCGCTATGTATTTTTTTCTCTTATTTCAGGTACTTATATAGCGCCATCAATTTACGCAGCACTTTACATATATATTGTACAATCACATCAGTCCCTAATGCAATCTAAGGTCCCTAACTTACATTCATACACATATTAGGGCCAATTTAGACAGGATCCAATTTACCTACCAGCATGTCTTTTGGAATGCTGGTAGGAAACCGGAGTACCCGACGGAAACCCACGCAGGCACAGGGAGAACATGCAAACTCCAGGCAGGTGGTGCCGTGGTTGGGATTCGAACCAGCGACCCTAGTACTGCCAGGCAGAAGTGCTAACCATTTAGCCACTGTGCTGCCCATTTTGACCTCACATTTGTCTGTCCAGATGATTGTGTTTTCACAATTGACAGTAACGGTTATTACTATTGTTGTCTGTCCGTGATAGCAAAATTCAGAACTGATGAGCATGTGTCACATGACCTTGCTTAACAGGTCTGTGAACTTCTGTACTGCACACTTGGCTTGATCCACCACCAGTTTGAGGAAGTTTGTGTGGAGAACTTTGCCTCTTCCCTGGACTCCTAGGTCATTTCATTTTTTTTTTTCTCATGTAATGCTTGCAGCAAGCAATATGCTCTTAGATCTGCAGAAACCATGCAGATGTTCAGTGTATAATTTACGGAGCCATAAACCTTGTGTTTTGTCTAAGTCCATGGTCTCCAAATTGTGGCCCAGGAGCCTGATGTGGCCCTTTGCTTGCCTGTATCTGGTCATTGGGACACTATTCATCCAACTGATACCAACAATGGGGCAATATTCCTCCAGCTAACACCAATGATGGGGCACTATTCCTCCTATGGATACCAAGAATGGGGCACAATCCCTCCCATTAAAAACCAGTGATGGTACATGGTTCTCTCCCACTGGCCACAGTCTGGCAACCTAAAGCCCGAAGGACAGTACATTTACTTAGAATGTTTGGAGACCCCCGGTCTAAGTGATTTGTTATTTTAAGATTCAAATGCCTGTCATGGCAAATTCAACTTGGGCTGTAGGTTAGTAAGTCAGGCCTAATGCTATGTTTTAACATTTAAAAATAGGTCCTCTTTAAGACCAAGCTCCAGTTCTAGAAAACCTGCAAGATTCTCAGTATTCTCCAAGTGCCCCTTCATAGTGAGTGTGTTGTTTGGTTTTGGTTTTTTTTTTTTTTAATTGTTTGAAATAAAATTGCATGTTCTTGCCCACCATAATGAGCAAATCACATATCCTATCTGTTTTTCCTAGCAGAGCTTTTAAATACCTGGGTGTTAAGTATAAAGGTAGCTGCCAGCCATACATTTGACTTTTTATCTCCTCATGGCTGTGTTTACATTGGTTTTAGAAGACCTTGGAAAATCCTGCTAGTGAAGGGTTGTTTGGGTCCAAAAGTGCACTGCTCTTATCAGGGTTGCATGATGGCTTTCCAAGATAATGCTTCATGTCTAGGACAAAGTGACAGTTCTGTATATGGCTTGCATAGTTTGCATCCCATTTGTATTGACAGGATTTGGAGCATCTCTAACTGTATTTATTTATTTTTTATTTATTTCAGGTACTTGTATAGCGCCGTCCATTTACGCAGCGCTTTAAACATATATATATTGTACATTAACATCAGTCCCTAACCCTCAAAGGGCGTACAATCTAAGGTCCCTAACTCACATTCATACATACACATACTAGGGACAATTTAGATAGGATCCAATTCACCTACCAGCATGTCTTTGGAGTGTGGGAGGAAACCCACACAGGCACAGACAGAACATGCAAACTCCAGGCAGGTGGTGCCATGGCTGGGATTCGAACCAACGACCCTAGTACGGCCAGGCGGAAGTGCTAACCATTTAGCCACTGTGCTACCCATAATTAACCCGGATTTGGACTCAAACCTACAGTTGTATGAAGAGTTGTCTTTTTGGCATAAAAACACAGTTCACCAAGTTCTAAACAGGTCTACCAAGGTGCAGGATATCAGCTAAAGCTAGGGCACTTCGGAAGTAAATTACAGAGAGTGTATGGGAAGCACACAACATCTTCATCCTGTTCTTTGCCTTGATATCGTATTTGCTGAATGAAAGAACCTGAAACACGACGGTTCCATTTGCCTGTGTATTCATACTGCAGTATATTCTTGAGTTCCTGCACTATGCATGATTATACAAATGTGCCATGTGTTGTGTTGCCCACATTTGTGATGGTTTAGGATTTCTCCTCCAGGGTGGATGGGGAAATCCGTTCAGTTGTTTTTTTTTTTGATCAGTCCACTGGCTATAGCCTGCAGCGCTGATCAAGTGGGGAAAATCCGACGAGGTGGTTCTGTTGGTAAATCGGCTTCTGTAAAACCTTCCTGCCCAAACGCAGAATGAAATTCGACTGGTCCCTGCTGAGTTTCGGTCCATGTATGGACTGCTTTAGCTGACCACCTTTTTGTAAATGGCAGTTACCTTGCTGGCTCTGCTTTCATTTCAGTACATTGAATCACAGACTTGGACCATGTGGCCAAGTCTGGGCCATTTACATCCAAGGGAAATCCTAACGTTTTATCTCTATACTGCTTCAGGGTCAGTGACGCGGAAAGCAGCACTGGGCTATTGGAAAGCCTTGGAGTTTTCTTTTTTTTATCATGAAAGACAAATACAAAACTTCCTCATCTATTAAATAGCCAATGAGCCATACATTATGGGTCATGGTTATTAACTGGTTAGCTTATACTTTTAACTACTGACACATATAGATTGTTGTGTGTCTATATTCACACTGAAAACAGATGTACTAAGGAACTGCTACAGTCTTCAATGTGAAAAGCCCAGGACTAGTGTGAAAGCTGTAGTTGCCCTTTATTACATTTTCTATTTTTGCATGTGATTGCACATTTGAGGTTTTAAAGGGAAGGAGGAAGCAGGATCCTGCTGGATGTCATTTATTACTGTATGTACAACATAACAGGCAGGAAATTTCAGTGCCTCCTTTAATACACTCAGAATAGAGTTTGCATGTTCTCCCTGTGCCTGTGTGGGTTTCCTCCGGGTACTCTGGTTTCCTCCCACACTCCAAAGACATGTTGGTAGGTTAATTGGCTCCTGTCTAAATTGGCCCTAGTATGTGTATGTATGTGAGTTAGGGACTTTAGATTGTAAGCCCCTTGAGGATTAGGGATTGATGTAAATATACAATATATATGTAAAGCACTGCGTATATTGACAGCGCTACATAAGTACCCGAAATAAATAAGTTATAGAATATTGGAAAATATATGCCTACATTTTCTGTTCTTGCACATATGTTCATTGCATGTTATACATACTCCATCATGCTGTAATAATAAGGGTTTTGAGACTTTCAGAAATTAGTAGTAGTAAATGCCTGTGTATACAATCCCAATTCCAAAAAAGTTGGGACACTGTGTGAAATTTACATAAAACTTGAATGCAATTATTTTCAAATCTCATATATCCATATTTTATTAGATGCAGCCTTTTACAAATTGGTGAACCTCTGCCTCTCTCCTAAGACACTCTGACTCTCTAACCCTCATGCACACTTGATGTTTTTACAGCGGCTGTTTTTGGCTTTTGATGTTTTTTTTTTGTTTTTTTTTCTACAGCCAGTAACCCCCCCCCAGCATGTTCTCCTATGTGTCCATGCACACATAGACTGTAATCAACGTTTTTTGGCTGGATAAAAACCCAGGACTAGTGGGTTTCTAAAGGAGTTTTTTAGCTGTAAAAACATTCTAGCGCTGAAAAACGCGGAAAAAAAACTCAGTAAATCCTGGCAAACCAGCATTTTTGGATGTTGTTTTTTTTGTTTTTTTTTTTTTCTAAAAAAAAAAAACTCTAAACGCAAAAAAATACGGCTAAATGTTAATACAAAAACACTGAAAAACTCACGTTTTTTAACGTGACCTTACACGGCTAAGGTTATCAGCATTATTAAAACACCCCGTGTGCATGGAGCCTCATACTTGGTTATTTTACTGACCTGTTTCCAATTAACCTATTTAGTTGCAAAATGTTCTTCCACTTCTTCCCTATTAGTACCACTTACTTTACCCGCTTTTTGTTGTCCTGCCCCAACTATGAGACTTGTTGCTGCCATCAATTTCCTTATTTTCTTTAAAACTGTACATTAACTCAGTTCAAATATTTGATATGTTTTCTATTGTGAATACAATATGGGTTTATGAGACTTGCAAATCATTGCATTCTGTTTTTTATGTAGATTTTACACTGCGTCCCAACTTTTTTGGAATTGGGGTTGTACTGAGATGCAAATGTGCTTGCAGCAACTATTAATTTGCGTTTCATTGAACGCCAATAATATAGCTGTCACTATACTTTGACACCCCAGCTTCGTGTGTTCTGCACAGCAGCCGTAGTATTGTTTGCAGCTGCCCTGCCCACCCCCCTTCTTCCCTTTTCCAATCACAGAACACTTTGAATTCTGTGAAACCATTATCAAGATGCAAAGCTTTCTGTGAATAGAGAGGAGGAAAGAAGGTAAGACAAAGTGGCAGCTGTGTAGGAGAGCCGCATCCTTTTGGAGTGCTGGAGTGTAGCAAATGCTATACTATTAATGCACCAGAAAGCTGTAAACAAAGTAGAGAGATCCAGCAGGTGGCATGCACCTACTTGCACTTAACTCCTTGGCCTCATATGGCTGCAGAGGTAATGTTTAATTTATCATTCTGAACTTGGTATCCCATGAATAATTTATCGTTTTTAATCAGCCTACCATTACTATACTACTGTATTATCACATGAAAAAGTGTTGCTTGCCATCGATTATAACAAATTAAATATGGTTACTTCTGTAAGTAGTGTTATTAAAAGAAGCTTCTTTTTCATATTTTAGGTTTCTTCTCAGCACTGTGTCTGGTATGGGGAATGTGGGCAAGCAGAAGGAGATAAGCGGTACAACTGTGAATACCTCGGTCCTCCAATACCCTTACCTGAAGCCGGTCATGAATTACTACAGGTAGGATGTTTATTATTTTCCAAACTTTGTGCCAATAGGATGTTTTGATTTGGATGTATACTGTGATTAAAAGTCCATTTTGTGTACCAATAGGATGTTTTGATTTGGATGTGTGAAAAATCGAGTGTTCAGAGTTATACCTCTTTGATATGTAGCCACAGATGCAAACTTTGTTGATTGGGTAAATTGTCCAGTGCTGAACTGCATTAGCCATACATTGGCAGACAACAAATGTCCCGATTAACAGGAAAATTGGATCCTTTTAGGACTGATGCCCCTTACACACGATAAGAAAATCGTACGAAAAAGTTTATAGAACCACTAATCGAACGATTTTCTCTTCGTCAATGAGCAGGATGTTTTAACTGATAACGATATTGTGAAGAAAAAATCCGGTTGAACAGTGAAAAATTTTGGCGTTTCGCATACGAATGACTGATTTTCTATGCGGCGGTATGATGATGATCGTCCAAAAAAAAAAATCTATCAAGCACTATCACACATGAGCGGAAAGAGAAGATGACCCGGATTTTTATGTCCAAGAAATCTTCGTAAACACGAACGAAAAATCCAAATGTTAAAAGTAGATTGGCCTAATGAGATAATGAAACCAGAATTCTGCAGATTATATTTTTATTTATATAGGTAATGTAATAAACTATATTATACTCATTGCTGTTAATTGTTGTGTATTGCTTGTTTTGGCCGGAAGGGCGTGGCTACAAGGTCACACGCACACCGCATCACTTCCACTTGTATGGAAGACGTCAACACTACGTATTGCCTGCCGAACAATTTTTTTAGATTGGTTAATATGGGCCACGATTTCGACCAACGAACAAACGCCTCTCGGTCGTCGGATGACAGATTGGTCGATTTTTCTAATTGTGTATTCCCACCTTTAGTGTGCCAGTTATTAGGTTTTGTACAGGAATCCTTGATTTTTGAGGCTACCAGAGGTCCATGTGAATATGGAACTGCTAGGAGGAACCTGTATAGTCTCACAAGGACCCCACTGCTATATGTATGCGATCATCAGATTTATGTTGTTAATATCCCACGTGTATTCAGTATCATTTGGTCTTCATTATGGAGGGCTGAATCTGTTCCAGATAAGACTGTCCAAGTGTGGGTATTTTGATGCCTAGTTTGATTTATACTGTATTTTTGGCAAGGCCAGTTGCTAATAACCGCATTGATTCCTTCTGGATACAGTGTAACACAGCCTTTCTCAACCAGGGTTCTTCCATAGTTTGCCAGGGGTTCCTTGAGTAATGGGCAATGCCTGCCTCTCAGACAAGTAACCACTGACACCAGTGATCTTTGTATCACCTCTAAGGGATTGGTTATTCCCAATGACCACAAATGTAAGGAGCATTCTTCCCAGTGACCATCACGCTAATATACTGTGAGCTGCAGGTATAGTATATTTAAGTAGGGGTTCCCTGAGACTGGAAAGTTTATTTAAGGGGTTCCTCCATGTTTAAAAAGGGTTGAGAAAGGCTGGTGTAGCAGTATAGGCTGTTAACTCAGTTTTGTAGTTAATTATAAAGCACCGTAATGAAATGCTTTTTGTGATGTCCTCATATATTTGAAACTATTGTGAAATTGATTTCCTTTGTCCAGCTGTTATAATTCAGCCATCGCTGTGTCACTGCAACCTGTTTTATTTGTATTTTCTGCAGCAACTGTGCCCATCCCTGTACTATGGAAATGTCAGCGTGTGCTGTGATGTACAGCAGCTCAATACGCTAAACAAAAACTTACAGCTTCCTCTGCAGTTCCTGTCAAGGTATGCTTGAGATTTAACCTCCTATGTGAAAGCAGCTGGAAGTGTTGCATAATGTTAAATTGATCAAAAACTAAAAGGAGGATTTGTTGGAGCTTGAAGTGTAATTAAATAAAAAAACAAAACTTGCATATGCTGCATGCTTCATGTTTCAGTTCTCAGTTTTTTACATCTTGTTTCTCTAAAATTTTGTGTACATTTTTCCACCATATAGTAAATACCTTATCACTGCTCTAGAAACTCCCATTTATATTAATTTTCTTTATCCCTGTGTCTGCATCTGAATGGATGGCTACAAAGGGAAATACTGAGAGAGCTGAATGGACTGTACTTAGAGCAGTCTACCAATGTGACAAGAATCTATGAGCCAGAATGAAAGAACACATTCCTGGCATCCTTTTAGATGGCATGTTCCTCCCTGCTCGCCTCTGGATGATACAGACTTTAGCTGTGCTGTGATGATTAGTTTCTTGATTACTGTTCCAGAAGTGGGTATGTAATTGTGCAACTAATGAGCATAGCTTATGTCTCTAGTTCCAGTGGCCAGCTACTTCCCTGGAATATACACATTTAAAAGGTGCCCAGGACACTTTGTCTCCACTCTCCCCCGACCACTGAGGATGGCAGAGGTTATGTTCCCATTTGAAAAAAATGTTGTCAGGACACAGCCTGTAAACATGTATTATCTAGATTATATAAGAATCTCACTGAATTGATGGGATTGGAACCTCCGAGATTCTTAGAGAGATGGGAAAGAGAATTGGGTACAAACATGGATGAACTACAGAAGGACAAAATGTTTAAATTGATCCATGGGGTGGTAAATTTGAACACGGTCGAAATTAATTACAAATGTTTGACAAGATGGTATTGTACACCGAGTGTTGCACATAAACTTAAGGGATGAAGTTTCACCATTATGTTGGAGGGGTTGGGGGAGGGTTGGAGGGACCATGTCCCATATTTGGTGGGAGTGTGTAAAAATTCAGAAGTATTGGCAGGAAGTAATTGAATGTATACATGAGATTTTAGGGACAAGTATCCAAAAAGATCCATGGGTATGTTTATTTTATAGTATGGAGGCATCAGTGAAACAGTATAAAGGTAGTCTATTATACCATCTAATTAGCTCCACTAAAGGATTGATTCCCAAATTTTGGCAGACACAGGATCCCCCAACGTTGAGAGACTGTATCAACAGTATTGAGTATATAAACAGGATGGAGGAGTTATTCCATATAGACGAAGACAGATTGGAAAAATGTATAAAAGATTGGAGCAAGTGGTATTCTTTCAAGTTTTCTGGAAAATTATTTTGAAATAATGGGTGCCCTGGAGGCAGAGTTGGAGAAAGAAAATGTTTGTTTAGTTGGAAAGTGGTATCGGTGAAATAGATTTTAGAGCTCTGAATGAGGTATGTAGACAGACTTGGATAAGAAAGCTTTCAATGGACAGGGATGACTATCTGGTTGGGAAAGAGGTCGGTTGAATTGTTTTGGATTTGGTTAATGATGTATTATATATTGAAATAAAAGATATAAAAAAAAGGTGCCCAGGGATCTGTTCTTTCACTCTGGCTCAAACAGTACAGCACTACTGTGATTGGGGACACTGCAAGGAACCATGGGAGATATAGTTTTGCAATTGTCAAGAAGCCAATGTATCGACCCATGCTGGCTGTTAAGAGATGGAAATAATGATAAAAACAGTATTCGCCGATATAGGGGAGATTCAAGATTTTAATTGTACTAATACAGGGTTTGAAGTCAGTATTCAATGCTGCTTATTAATACTTAACATAATTGTATGTGACTTTAGTACTCCTTTAATTGGAACATGACAAAGCATGTTTGCAGATAAGAATGTTATGTCTTAACCATTCTTTACGCTGATACTGCACAATACATTGTCAGTCTGTCATGTCTATTCAGGTCATAGTATATCTAGTAGTAATCACATTCAACTGGACTTGTTCTGTCATTTTGAGGAGATTGGTAGAGATGTTAAAACCGCATTATATGTGATAGACAAATCGTGTTGAATGCCTCCACCCCTCTTCAAAGATGGTTGTTCCAGTTTGATGTAGGTGGCCTTTTATGCTATTTCTGAATAATTTGTCCTTTCTGTCTCTGAAGATCCCTTCTATTGTAAATTCAGGGCTAGTTCACACCCCAAAAAACGCACTCTAGATCTGTTTCGGATGCTTTTCTGCATGTGCGTTTTTAATACATTTTTAATGGGTTTCGGGGCTTTGTTGTTGCGTTTCCGGATGTGTACTAGATTTATTATTTTCAGGTTTTTTTTTTTTCTCAGCTGTACTGGGTCGGTTCAGTGCTTTTTTTAATGTGTTTTACTGCATTCCAGTACAGTTCTGTGCTGGGAAAAAATGCAGCATATTCATTTTTTTTTTTTTTTTTTTTTCTGGAACCAGAACGCACTGGAACTGCAAGCACTGGTGTGAACTTTGCCATTGAAAACCATGTAACCTACTTTCTATGCTTTTTGAATGCAGAAAAAAAAAGCACTGGAATGCATGTGCCATGAACTAGCCCTAACGAAGAAGCCTTGAGTTACCTGTGATCTCCTAATGCAGCACTGTGGAAGTCCAGGGGCTGATAAGTTCCTGGGCTTAGTACTGGGTTCCAGCATGGTACAGACAGCTGGCGGTTCCAGTGATAAAAACAGATGCGGGGGCTGCAGAAACCTCTGACATTTTTAAATGGCCATGGGATGGTTCTAGGATAAATAGCTGCTATCCCTGCACCATTTTAATACTGTGGCCAAGACTGATGTGGTTAAGGTGTAGGAACTGAAATCAAGAAGTCTTGATCTGTAGAATTGGCACTCCTATGTTAGGCCATTTGTTTGAGTTGTAGCTTAAACTCCCAAATGTACAGATCTTTGCATTCCTCACTTCATGGCAATGCATATACCAAGTTACTTCATTTGTGTGTGGGTGTTGACGCCAAAAGACCAAACACCCGAACACAATCAAAATAACTTGGTATTTTCTTTTAGCTTGGAGTTCAGTGTTAAAATGTTTTATTTTTATACAATCTTTGGCTTACAAATAAACTTTTAATCTCAACCATGGTACTACCTGCCTGGAGTTTGCATGTTCTCCCTGTGCCTGCGTGGGTTTCCTTCAGGTACTCCGGTTTCCTCCCACACTCCAAAGACATGCTGGTAGGTAAATTGGATCCTGTCTAAATTGGCCCTAATATGTGTATGAATGTAAGTTAGGGACCTTAGATTGCATAAGGGACTGATGTGAATGTACAATATATATATATATATATATATATATATATATATATATATATATATATATATATATATATATATATATATATATATATATATATATATATATATATATATATATAGTGCTGCGTAAATTGATGGCGCTATATAAGTACCTGAAATAAATAAGAGAAAAAAAATACATAGCGCACTTCTAAATTGGCCCTAATATGTGTATGAATGTAACTTAGGGACCTTAGATTGTATTAGGGACTGATGTGAATGTACAATATATATGTAAAGTGCTGCGTAAATTGATGGCGCTATATAAGTATCTGTAATAGGAGAAAAAAAAAACATAGCGCACTTCTAAAGTGTTATGGGTAAGCTAAAGGCGGCTCAGCAGAAGTAGCTCTCTTTTAGACAGGCTGTTGTTACTTCCTAATGAGTCCTTTGATAAGGGATGACATACTACTCTGAGTCATCCAGTGATGAGCATACGTTTCACCCTGATCTGTAGATCTGTATAAACTACAAACTCCATGTAGGTAGGTAAGGAAAAAATTACATTCTTTCTAAAACAGCCATACATAGACAAATATATGTAGCTCAGATCTCCATACATGGAGGTATCTCTCATTCTGAAAAAATCTGATTCATTCTCTCTAATTTCTATTGAGAAAAGGGAGTGATAATTGGAGAATTCAGCATGTGATCACCAACAGTTATTTTAATGCAGATGTGCTTGGAATCATGGATTACATGGAGTATTAGTGTCTGAAACGGCTTTAGAGCTTGGAAATACTGAGTCATTTGAGGCCATCCATAGTCCTTTTCAGTTTGTCCTGTACCATGTGTGTTTTTTTTTTTTTTTTTTTTTTCCCTTGATTATTGTACTGTGTAATTTTGTTGTTGCCTGTCATGTCCCTTTCACTTCTCTTGTTCATTATGACACAGTCTTCATTGTGAATAACAACAGAGGGGTCCTTGTCTGCCCCGGAGCAGACTGCTGGGTTTTGCATTGTTTGTGCATCTAGACTAGCCAGTTCTCTTCAGCTTGGCATTCATTTGGACTTTTGGTAGGTGGACAAGGGGATCAAGTCCCAGGCTGTAAATGAAAGTGTAACTAATAGAAAACCATTCTTTTTTTTTTTTTTTTAAGTTTTGGATAGAGTGCAGGGCTATAAGAACACCTGTCTGTTTTATTGCTATCTGTGCCCTCAAGGCTGCAGTGTGTCCTCATTTGGACCCCCTTTTTGGCCTCTGGGTCCTTTACCCTCTGGTCTGTCTTCTTTATTTTCCCAGTTATGATTAGGGTCCCGAGGACACCACATATATATATCTATGTGAGTCAGCATTATTTATAATTGGGTCACTATCTTTATTCGGTAATTTCTGTCCCCGAGTTTTAGGAATCCTGGTGTGTTTTATTTTTTTATTTTATCTGTGCCCTCATTAGGAAGGTTCACCCTCTGTTTGTCTTGTTTACTATTCTCATTGAAAGTAAAGTAAAATCCCAAATTTCGGGTTGGTCCCAGAAGAGTGTAGTAGAGTGAAAATCTTCCAGTGGGGACACTAGTTTATTTAATTTATTTTTTTTAGTGGGGGAGGGGGGTGTCAAGGGATTTTCTTAATCTGCAGGGATTTCTTTCTCCTATTCTGGCTATTGGACAGAAAGTGAAGGGAAATCTCCCCATTTGGACACAGATGGCGAAAAAGAGCCTGGGTTTTAAAACTCTCCTTTTACTCTATCCAAAATAGGGAAGAGGAAGTTTTGCCTTTAATTGTACTTTAAAGAAAGCTTTTGTGTTAATTAATTTATGCATGGTATTAAATGTATGACTTTGCGTGTGTGTAGAGACCGCTGTGACCAAAATGTTTGTTTTATTTTTGAAAATTTCCGTTTATCGGCTTTAAAGTGTAATACAAAGAAACTGTATAGACACTAAACACACTAACAACCACAAAAAAAGAAAAACACACAAGGGTTACATCACCATAAGCTATGGTAGCCACTGTAATATGCAAATGCATGTACACAGGTGTGCCTCGGTTAACGTAATTTTTGGTTTACGAATGAAAATCCATTGAAAATAATGCCTTGGTTTACAAATTGTTTTATGAATTTTTTTTCGCAACACGAAGTGTATTTTGGTGCCAATTTTTAAATGCAATTGCCAGCTTTTTTTTTTCTTGACTATAGCTCACAGAATTAGCTGTCACTTTCCCCAGAGTTAAGAAATTAAAAGGAAACATTGTTTCTTTTAACTTGGGGAAATAAACTATAAGGAAACTTTCTCTCTTTTAGCTGGGGGGGAAAGTGACAGCTGAATCTCTGAGCTATAGTGAAGAAAAAAAAGCGGCAATTACATTTAAAAACCGGCACCATAATAAATAAAAAATCTGGCGTGGGGTCCCCCCTCCCATCCATACCAAGCCCTTTGGATCTGGTATGGATTTTGAGGGGAACCCATACCAAAATGTAAAAAAAAAAAAAATTGGCGTGCGGTCCCCACACCGATTTATTTATTTAATTTTTTGGTATTTTTTTTTTTTTTAGTTGCCGGCAATTCTTACATTCAATTCTTTACATTCAGCTTTCAGTGGGGAACCCCACTAACAGCTGAACATTAACACATGGTTGTCACTACTAAAATACCACATGACTTGATAAAATAACTCATGCGGTATTTTAGTAGCGTTTACTTTTTCTGACCTCTGGAACGGGTTAAATGGTTTTTAATGTATTCCTATGGGAAATGGCATTTCAGTTTACAAATTTTTCACTATACGAAAAGTCCCGAAGAACGAATTAAATTCGTAAACCGAGGTATGCCAGTACCAAAATTGTTTTATATGACTGTGCTAAGTTTTATACATAATTCTCAGCAGCAGTTGCATTATCTTTTCTTTCAGGTGTCCTTCCTGCTTTTATAATTTGATGACTTTATTCTGTGAGCTGACCTGCAGTCCTCGCCAGTCAGAATTTCTGAATGTTACAGGGACCATAGATTACATCGGCTCAGATCTATCCAAAGGAAACAAAAGCATCATTACCATGGATTACTACATTGGGCAAAGTTTTGCAAATGGCAAGTAATATTTACTAGAATTGTAAAAAGCACCATCTTTGAAATACTGGGCAAGCCTTTCTTATGAAAGCTTGTATATACGAGGTTGAGGATTTGATAGAGCAATGTGTACAGCAGACTTTTGCAAAGCTTTTGGCAAGCTTTGCTGATGCCTTTTAAAGTAAACTTGAGTTCCAGGGAGGAGAGATTAAATGTAAGTCCTAAAAGGAGTGCTGACTGTCACTTTAAACATACTGATAGTTTGACTTTGAAGAAAACTGGCCATAAACGCCTTGGTTTCTTCTGTTCAGTTGTGGGCTGAAAGAGAAAATCAAACAGATTCCTCCATCTGTGCTAAACAGTGCAAATGGATGAATCTCTCCTGCCAGCTATTGTATTCCAAGAGTTGTCTGCTGCAAAACATCTGAACTATGTGTGCATCTGATTGGATGCAAGCATTTGGCTGACAATTTACCCCTCGGCCTCTTCGACAGAGTCGACTGAACAATCAACTTTTGCCGCGCTGTATATGGCAGCCTTAGGTTACAATTTATTATTATTATTGTTTACTTGGCAGCCTTGGGTTGCATTTTTTTTTATTTGGCAGCCTTCGGTTAGATTACAATTATTTATTACAGGTACTTCTATAGCGCCAGCAATTTACGCAGCACTTTACACAGATATATTTTACATTTACAAAAGTCCCTGCCCTCAAGTAGTTTACAATCTAAGGTCCCTCACTCACATTCATATATACTAGGGCCAATTTAGACAGCAGCCAGTTACCCTACCAGCATGTCCTTGTAGTGTGAGAGGAAACAGGAGTAGACAGATGAAACCCGCACAGGAAGAACATGCAAACTCCAGGCAGTGTTGTGGTTGGGATTCGAACCAACAACTTTAGTGCTGCTAGGCGGAAGTGCTAACCACTTAACCACTTTGCTGCCCGTTGATCTACACTGGCTTTATACAGTCGATTTCATTAAGGCCATCCTGTGCGTGTATTTTCCCCAGTCAATCATTTTATTGTTACTATGCACAATAAAAGAAAGAAAAGAAAACAAATGCAGCTATTGTATCTAGGAATTGGTAAGCTGCAATATAATGTTTGCTTTTGGGTTTAATGCCACTTTAATTTAGTCTGCTAGCAGCGTGTTTAGTGTGCTATAAATTGCAGCTTACCAACTATTGTGGTGGCTGCATTAGTTTTTTTGTTTTTTTTTTATTAAGATTTTTTTTCTTTATTTTTACCTGGTGATCCAGCCAGTAAGTCTGTCTTTTTTGCAGCAGCAGTCCAAGCTATCCAGATAAAGTAGTAGAGGGTTTAGACAACCCATTTAACACTGACAGGGGTAGTTACAATGATCAGCTTTTTTTATATGTGAAACCTTTATCCCAGGAGGAAAAAAAGTTTGCTACAACTACTGCTAGCTGGAGTTCAGTTTTAATTTGTTAGTCAAGTCCATTTAAATCTGCTAGTCTAAATCTGGCAGTAGATGATTTTTTTTTTGTCTTCTGCCAGTACAATGAAGAAACACAAAATTAATTGATTCCTCCATAGACACAAGGGAAGTGGATAGAGGAATCCGCACGCTGAGACAGTATATTTTGACAGTGGGGACTCTACGCTGCCAGAATATACTGATCATTGGCTGCAGCGGCTGATCAAGATACATTTTTCCAACAAGCCTGTTCGACAAAAGCTGATGATTAGTTTGACTTATGTCAAGCAGGAGAGGTCACACATGGATCAAAATTTGTCCAGTTCCTACCATTTATAGCCAGCTGCAGACCGCAGAATACAGAGACTCTAAGACAGGAAGTGTGTTGCTGGCAGGATCACCAGGTGAAATTGAAAAAAAACTGAAAAACTAAACTAATGCAGCCTCAATATCGAAGGATCAGTAAGCTGCAATATATAAAATTTTTGGGTTTAATATTGCATTAACGTGACAATCAGCACTACCAGTAAGATTTGTATTTAACCATTCAAACCTATGGGTGCTATAAAGGCTTCAACAAAGCTGCTTTAAGCTGGCTAAAAGCTCTGCAAACACTTTGCAAAATCTTGCTGTGCAGACAGTTCTTTATAAAAGCTAAATCCTGTATTTACAAAGCCTTGCGGAGACCATTGCTGATTTTTTTTTTTCATCTGAAAATCAAAAGGTCAGCTAAGGACGCCACCATATTTCTCACAGTAGAGATTTTCTTTAATGGATAAGTTCACCTTTTGAACATGTTGCATGTTACATCCATTTTTAGGGTGTAACATGTTAGGGTGTACATCCATTTTTAGGGTGCAACATGTTCAGCACCCCCTCAACCCCCTTCCCATGTAAAAAGCAGGCAGGTGTTTCTTTCTCCCACCATATTTCCCCCACCATCACATTTTAAAATCGGCACTGCTGTGCCGGCGAAGGGATCTGTGAATGAATAAACTGCATGTCCCATCATGCTGATCACTGGGCTTGTAGTCCATTCACACTCCCTCCAACTGTCAGACTGAAAGCCATATAGTGGTAAGGGCAAAAAGTTGCAGGGAGAGTGTGCACCCTGACATTGCATCCACAATCCAGTTATTATGTGTGCAGTACTTTACAGGCTCCTGTAGAAAAAAAAAAAAACAATAAATGCCCCAAAATATGTGAATTTTTTATTTATTTGCTAAAGATGGCCTTTAATATATTGCAATGCTCTCAGACGTGTGAAAACAGTCACACACACCTGATTCTGTTTCCTATTCCTTTTTTTGTTCCTGTATTTCTCCACAGGTTTTCTTTTTAAAGCAGTAGTAAACTGCGTTTAAAAAAAAAAAAAAAAAAAAAAAAAAAAACTGGTGCCCCTGCAGTCTCATGTCATATGTGCTAGTATGCCGTGCATATCTATAACAACCGATCCCTCCAGCAGGCCGCTGTCACCACTGATAGGGAATCCATCTTCACCTCGTCTGCCTCCCGGGTTTGTGGGCTCTGGCCATTTGAATGGTTGAGCCACAGTGATGTCACTCCCATGCATGCACCATATCTCTCTCAATGGATAGCATACTTGAGTGTGCCATCCATTGAGAGCGCAGTGAGCATGCACCGATAACTGTGCTCATTTAGGAGGTATTCACAGTACCTACAGGTAAGCCCACCTTATAGGGTTACGTGTAGGTACAAGGTAAAAAGCAGAGTTTGCTATCTCTTTAACCTGAATCTGACTATTTTCACATTCAGGGCAAAGTGACAGGTTCTTTTCAAAAATTCCCCCTCTCCATGTTCCCAGATGATACTTTTTGCTCCCTGTTGCCGTCTTATTTACTTGTTAGATTCATGAGCTTAAGGTTCTGTTTATGTTCAGTGTCTATCTGAGTTGGCGTTTACATGGCACTAATGACCTTCCTGCATCCCCAGTGAGGGTGCTCAGACCTGTTGTCTGGCTGCTCTTGTACTGTACACTACATTGTGGGGGCAAGGGAGAAGCTCACACGTTCCCGCATACCTGCAATATCTAAAGACTTTTGCAGGGGAGAATGGTAAAGGTAAATATTAGCACAGGGGTGGGTATCAAGAGAACCTGTCACTTTGCCTGGAATGGACAAAGTGGCAGGGTTGCTTTTAAGGCTGAACTCCCAGGCAGGCAGTTAAATATACAGATGAATTGATTACAGTATATGGGAGCTGTTTTACCTGCCAAAACATTTTGTATTTCTGTCTATCCAGTTCTAAGATTTACACAGCACTGGAATGCAGCACACACCTATCTGACAGGCATGAGACCCAATATTTCTGTGCTGCAGTTAAGTAATAGAACTAGGTCTTGTAACTGTCTGGACAGTGAAGGAGCATCAGACTAATGAGCTTGTTGATCTATCCCTATGCGCTCTTCCCATCAACATGTCCTTTTTTGCACATGAACATTGCAGCAGAGCTGATTGGCTAATGATTCTGCTTCCCACTTCTCCCACTTTAAGTTCTGCTGTACAGCCAGGGCAGTCTTAATGCATGGGCACTGCTCAGGGGCCCCAAGTGCATGGGGGCACCTTGGTAATCTTGCATTACATCATATTTGCCAACTGCCCTGGATTTGTTGAGACGGTCACACTGTTTCTCAAGCCGTCCCAAGATGCCCCAGGCAGCATCCCAAAACTTGTATTGTGCCCTCCTGATTCCAGTGTTCGGCCCTCCTACCTTTCACACCTAGTTTTATGTGGACACTCATTGTCTGAACACACAAATTCACTTTGTGATTTCTTCTGACTGTCACAGCCCCTTCTTCTTCTTCTTTTTTTTTTTTTTTTTGTAGCACATACACTATATTGCCAACAGTATTGGGCCACCTGCCTTTACATGCAGATGTACTTTAATATCATCCCAGTCTTAGTCTGTAGGGTTCAATATTGAGTTGGCCCACCCTTTGCAGCTATAACAGCTTCAAGTCTTCTGGGAACGCTGTCCACAAGGTTTAGGAGTGTGTCTATGGGAATGTTTGACCATTCTTCCAGAAGCGCATTTATGAGGTCAGGCACTGATGTCGGGCGAGAAGGTCTGACTTGCTATCTCTGCTCTAATTCATCCCAAAGGTGTTCTATTGGGTTGAGGTGCAGGCCAGTCAAGTTCCTCCACCCCAAACTCTCTCATCTGTGTCTTTATGGACCTTGGTTTGTGCACTGGTAGGCAGTCATGTTGGAACAGGAAGGGGCCATCCCCAAACTGTTCTCACAAAGTTGGGAGCATGAAATTGTCCAAAATGTCTTGGTATGCTGATGCCTTAAGAGTTCCCTTCACTGGAACTTAGGGGCCAAGCCCAACCCCTGAAAAACAACCCCACACCATAATCCCCCCTCCACCAACCTTTACACTTGGCACAATGCAGTCAGGCAAGCACTGTTGTCCTGGAAACTGCCAAACCCAGACACGTCCATTGGATTGCCAGACCACCTTTGAATTCACAGAGCTCCGGAGAGCGACCCATTCTTTCACAAATGTTTGTAGAAGCAGTCTGCATGCCTAGGTGCTTGATTTTATACACCTGTGGCCATGGAGGTGATTGGAACACCTGAATCCAATTATTTGGAGGGGTGTCCCAATACTTTTGGTAATATAGTGTATTTGTAGGAGGTGAGGATGTAGTGTCATCCAATTTTCAATAAGGTATAGTACATTTTCCTCTCATGCTATTCTGCTATAGAGTAATACCCAAAGCAATGTAAACATAACACTTTATACAGGTAACCCATGATTTTTTTTATAAAAACGTACAATTTATTGTGTCTGCTTTTATTCAGCAATGTACAATGCCTGCAAGGACGTAGAAGCCCCATCCAGTAATGTTAAAGCTTTGAGTTTGATGTGTGGAAGAGAAGCTAAAGACTGCACTGCAACCAACTGGATCCAATACATGTTCAACAAGGATAACGGGCAAATTCCTTTCACCATCACACCTTATTTTTCAGGTAGAGTACAATCAATTTTCTGTCTTGGGGAGCTTGAGAATGGGACCGTCCAGGTTTTAAGGGGTTCAGCAGCATTGAGAAGATGAGGAGGTGTTGAACAAAGCTGGAGGGGAGAAAAAGTGTCTGACCCAGGAAGCCAGGAAGCCATGCATTTTCTCTTGAGAGTTTCCCTGCTATTCTGTTGATCCTAATCCATGCAGCTATTAACCTCGAAGAAATATTCTTATTTCCCATGCCTTTGTACTAGTTTGTTTTGTTGCTGTAAATATAAAGAACAATGTCTTTCATTGGGTTTTAGGGATATTTGGCTGGCATTGTTCAGAATTTCCTCGCAGGAGTCCTTTGATGGCGGATGATCAAATATTGTAGATCATTTTGATAGATTCTGTTCTTGATTTTACGTAAGAGGGAATCGCCACCATACATGGCGATAACTTTCCAATTGATTCTCACAGCAAATTTTAGTTTTTAAAGGTCCCTGCTGGGAATCTTTTATTTATTTATTTTTAATTCTTTTTTTTACCTTCATACTAACAAAAGCATTTCTTACAGATGAGCCTTTGCACCACATGATTCCAATGAACAACGCTACAAAGGGATGCAATGAGTCTGTGGATGAAGAAGGTGCCCCATGTAGTTGTCAAGACTGTACTCTGGTCTGTGGCAGTAGACCAGTACCTCCACCTCCTCCAGTTCCCTGGCTTATCTTTGGCTTCGATGCTATGGTTATGATCATGTGGATAGCCTATGCTGCATTTTTACTTCTCTTCTGCTCGGCTGTCATTGGAGCTTGGTGTTACAGGTATGTAAACGTGTTGAACATGGTATGTAAACATGTCTGCTTCCTTATGACCAGACCACCTGTGAATTTCATCACCCAGCATGCATTCCGTTAACTGTATGTCTTTTTGTTCTAGTTTAGTTTGGCATTGTTTGTGGGGGTTTTTTTGTGTTTTGGGTTTTTTTTTTGTTTTTTTTTTTACCTTCATGCATTAGCATTTTTATAAGGTCAAAACACCAAAAACTTCATTTTAAAGATGGTTTCGTGGGCTGAGGCAACTGCTGAATTCTTATGTCACTTAGGTCTTCAGCATCAAGATTTTCAGTGTTCCTGCCTGAGTTTCACTATTCCCTCTCCTACCATTATGTTTTCAGTAGTATACATTACATTTAAAATCATGCAAGAGGAGTGGTTTCCCCTTGTATTGGCTGAGCCAACTATGCAGAGAGCCCAAACACAGAACTTGCCACAAGGGTTCCTGAGAGAATTAAGAATACATTTGGAGGCTTTTGCATTAAGAAAATGTGTTGCTTGTAGCAACCAAAAAGCATCCAGGTGTTTTCTTCTGCAGTCCATGCCTGCAAAAGCTATGGGCTAGATGGATTATTTCCGAAGCCTCTCTCAAATTCTGGAATATTATATATGGATAAAGAATGCAGTAGTATTTATTACATTATCATATGTGGTATCAAATCTTAATTCATGAATTGGATACTACCTAAAGATGAACTCCTGAACACATAAAAACCCTCCCCTGCAGTGGGGCTGCACCACACTTGAAAAAGCAATCTTACTTACCTGATCATCCACTCCCCAAGCAGGCAGTGCCCTTCTATGCTCAAGCGGATGGATATTCTCCCTGCAGCAGTCTTGGTGACGTCAGAGGATCTTGAATGCTGGAGCATAGGGGGGAAGAAGATGCAGGGGACTGCTTTAGCAGAGTGGAAGATCAGGAAAGTGAAAGTTCTTTACCCTGTCCACGAGACCTAAGTGAGCAGTCAACCTTTACAGTGCAGGTGCAGTCCCACTGCAAGAGAGGATTTTTAGGTTTCCTGGAGTTCAGTTTTAAACTAATATATTTTTCTTAAGAAATGTTAATATGTTCTCTGGTTCTTTCACATGTGTTATAATACTGGGGAGAAAGATCTTCTATGAGATGATAGTCACTAGTGGTATTTAGATGTATTTAAAAGTAGTAATTGTTGCGTTTTTTTAAATTTTAGTTATGCCTAAAAAAGTTCACAAGGAGCTCCATTTCCCTGTCCAGGAATCCAGCGATGTCCTCACCCAAGCCGACTTTTCAACCTGCTTAAGGTCCAGGAGCTGGCATCTGGGTAAGGGAAACCAGCAGTGAAGCTTTCGAGCTTCACAGCTGGTTTCCTACTGTGCATGCACAAGCCACGCCGCGCTGTTTTACTGATTCCGCAGTCTGTGTGTGTCCCAGAAGGCTGTGGGGGAAGGAGGAAGAGCTGAAAAATTGCCACGGCGATCTTGCCTGGAAGTGGGAGTGGGTACCTATCAAAATCAAGTACCTGCTCCCTCCCCCACAAAAAATAGTGCCAAATGTGGCCGAGGAGGGTGGGAGGATAAAAACAAGTGGAATTTCCCCTTTTTGGGTGAAATTTTGCTTTATATTGGCTTCTGTGTTTTATCCTACTGCTTGTCCTTCCATTTTTATCCACTAGAATATGACATTAAGCCCTGTATATGTTCTATGTCTCCTCCAGAAAAAAGAAGATTGTTTCAGAATATACTCCGATTGACAGCACCTTGGCATACTCTGTGAATTTCCATACTGCATCAGGTATATTATTTTGAGAAACCCCAAAAGTGCATATTTCATAAAATTTCCTAAAGCGGGTTTGACGTACAATCTTTTGTGTATAAATGTTAATGTTAAGCTTTCCATCATGTTGCAGGATACGTTGTGGTCTTCTTTTTTTTTTTTAGTGGAATTACCCTTTTAAGTTTGACACATTATAAATAGTAAAATACAGATGTGTTTTTATTGCTAACAAGTTTGATTTTAATGGTACATTGCTCTAAATTAATTTGGGTGTGGAAGGGAGTTGGTTTATTTTGGGTGTAAATGGTGTTTGAATTAAAGGGCTGTGATTCTAATTACCTATATATAAAATGCTTCTAACCAGTGAGGTATTGTAGTTAAATATGCATTAAGAGCTTTAGTTCTGCTTGGTACATAGCAGTTTGTTCCCTGGTGCATCTGACTGTAGAATGCAAATATATTTTTCTTATAGTATACTGTCAATGATACTTGTCATGAAAGAATCCCTTTATGGCTGTAACTATAATGGCTCTATAGTGTGCAGTGCTCAGATACAATGTATAGGAATGCCTCATGTGGCTTTTCATTGTACTGGCCCTCATCTTCTATAATACAACATTGTTTCTGCTGATTTGCCTTTCATGATGCTTGATGACGTTGTATCCAAACTGTCCTACATTCAATGTAAATCTGTTATGAGAAAATATATAGGCTGCCATTGCTGCACTGGACTTAGAGTGTTCGGTAGTTATGCTGACACACAGCTGGTTCACAGACAGCGAAAAGAGGGATTAATGGGTTAAGGCTGAAGTTAGTGTTACTAAACCCACAACAGTAAAATTGGTCTGTATATGCCGTAAAGCATGCTTGTTATATTCACTGTGGAACCTAGGGGGTTAATCCTCTGCACTGTGTACAAAAGCTGTTTGATCCTTTCTACTCTGCTCCTCCCCTTTTTCAAGTGACCACCGCTTATCTTCAGACTGAACCGTAGGCATGCACATGCTCAGTTTGGTGTATATTGCTAGAGAGGTTTTTTTTTTTTTTTCCCTTGGGAGAGTGCATGTGATAAGCACATGGCCAATCGGCACTGTCCAGACAGAAATCAGGGGATTTCCATCCTCCTAGAGCAGAAAGAAAACAACTCCTACAAGCTTTAGTTAGTGCTGGGCTGGACACTGATAGAAGTCAAAAGACTGCTCTAACTGCTGCTGAGAAAAGGTATTTAGCAGTTTATATTTATGAAAATAATTGCATTTCCATGTTGTGTGTACTGTGGGAGACCAGATATAGTGAATGCCGGGCCCTGGGTTTAGTAGCACTTCAATGGTAAGTGTTAGGATTAGATAAAGGAATAGGTTATAGGTCAGGGACATTTGTTTATATGCTGTATTTTGCATAAGTGTGTTTTTTTTTTTTTTTTTTTTTTTTTTTTTTTTTTTGTGCTGATGCCCCATGTTGAGAACTTTATTTTTAATATTCATTTTTTCACATTTAAAAAAGTTTATTAAAGACAGAACAATACAAAATGTGGAGAAACACATACTATGGCATACACTTCACCTTCACGGTGTAACAATAACATACATTTCCAATTATTGAAAAAGCTCTTGAGTGATTTAAAGCTGGTTCTACTATCATGCTGTTACAGTAATAACGTAATATCCTGTACTGTACATGAACATTTTCTAGCCATTGCTAAATAATTATACTAGAAAACATAGAAAAGTGACGGCAGAAAAAGGCCGAGTGGTTCATAGAGTCTGCCTGTACTCTTTGCCATAAGTATTAACAAGAGATCCTTAGAAAAAAATAGAAAGCAGAGAGAAAAAAAATGGAAGACTAGAAGTATGAAAGGTTCACTAGTATCACTTTGTCATCTAAAATCACCATATAATGTTCTCAACTCCCTGATAACTATAACTATTCTAATATGAAACAAAGTAAATTGCAGGGTACAACAACCTCCCCAATCACTGTGAACAGAATGTATTCAAATTTTGAATCATTTTTAGAACACGGGAGGCGTATCCCCAAACACATACACTGAAAGTATCTTCTTTACCTCTTCCATATATAAAACTCCATCACAATCCTCAGGCAGATTCAGACCTGCTGTTGAAGTGTGAGACTGATTATTTGGGAATCAAGCGGAGATCAGATATTACACAGTACAGATTAGGACCCCCATGTGAGAAACTCCCTGGCAATCTAGCTGCAGTGAATGTGGCAGAACTCATTCCATTAAACTGTGTGGGCTGTAGCACAATTGCAGTGTTGCCTGGTTATTAACAGATTTAACTTGCTGCAGACACTACTCTTAACATTGTGGTGCCTTTTAATCACATGATCATCTTGGCACAGTTGAGGCCAGTAGACTCTTAAGAAGTTTGAGATTAAAATATTAAAGGTAAGTGTTTGTTTTTTTTTTTTTTTTTAAATAACGAACATGTCATGCTCACCTGCTCTATGCAATGGCTTTGCACAGAGCAGCCCCAATCCTCCTCTTCTTGGGTCTCCCACTGTCATTCCTGGCCCCTTACTCCTGCCAACTGCCACCACAGCAAGCCAGTGGCTCCCACTGCTGTCTCAGCCAATGAGGGGGAAGAGCTCTGGAGAACCAAGGCTCTTGTGCACATTGCTGGATCGCAGTGGGGCTCAGGTAAGTATTAGGGGGCCTTCCTCATAGAATGCATGAAGGTATAAAACCTTTACAACCACTTTAAATTCAATGTGGGAAGACCTTTGCATTGTACAGAGCGTGTGTAATGTCTTAACTGACTAGACTAATATCTGTGCTTTTCCTTCATGTATAGGCAATCCCTCTTGCTGTGACCGAATCGGGGAGCGCCTGGAGAACTGTTTGAGGGTTGCTTTCACCAAATGGGGTTCCTTCTGTGTCAGACACCCCTGGATTGTCATCTTCTTCTCTCTGGCTATGATTGCTGTGTGTTCCGCTGGGCTGAAATTCATGCGGGTTACTACTGACCCCGTTGAGCTGTGGTCTGACCCACAAAGTCAGGCACGCAAAGAGAAGAATTACTTTGACACACACTTTGGGCCATTCTTCCGCACAGAACAACTGATCATCACTGCGCCTTACAGCAATGGAGATATCTACTCCCCATATCCAACAGGGGATAATGTGCCTTTTGGACCTCCTCTAACGTTTGATATTCTCTCTCTGGTAACTAAATGGTGTATAAATTGAGAATCGTTGTTCATAAAGTGGGGTGAATAAGCTATAAATCTAGCTTCTGGTAAATCTGTTGCCTGTTGGCCATACCTTTTTAATCAGTACTAGGTCCGTACCTCCAGAATCAAGGGTTTTCTTTGTCTCAATGGAGGAGCAGGTTTGGATGATTTAAGTAATTTCTTAGCATGTTTTCTTTGGAATAGGGTTCTTAACCAAACCTCAATGGATCCAATGCAAACAGTTACTTATAATAATGAACTATATTGCTTGCTGTTATCATCAAGCAAAAAAATCACTTTTGAAAAAAAGATCTATTGCTATAGCTGGAGGTGGGGCTGAGCTGAATTGGTTCATTCCTGCTAAAAGATGGCTGTGATAGCTTGCATGCAAATGCTACATCTTTAAAATGGTGAGTTCACCTTTTCATAACAAGCAATGGTGAAAACTAACTACAAATACCCTAGCCACCCCTCTGGACCCTGCTGTACAAGCAAATGTGATGCCTTGTGCTACCAGTGTAGTAGTCACCGCAATACACAGACCTGCAGTCAGTGTCTATCATAATGCTCGCAATGGCAAGCTTCCCAGGAAAAAATGCATTTCTTCTGGGACACCTTACCCAAATAAGAAGCCTTGAATCTGCTTCTCATTGGTTGACATGGCCATGTGGTTGCTCTGACCAATGAGCACTTGTCATGGCTAGCATTATGATCGATATTCATTCCAGGGCTGTGCATTGTGTACAGACTGCTACGCCAGCAGCATGGGGCATCATGACTGTTACATGTAGTGAGGTCTGGAGAGGTGACCAGAAATTTTGGAGTTTGTTCACCTTTTCACAGGGCTTTTGTGTTTTCAAGTGATAATGGTGAGAAGGGAGCAGAAGACCAGGGCTGGAGATGGTGGAACGGAGTGGCCTATATACATTCCAGGTGCAACAAAATAGAAATGTGCAGAGTTTTGCTTTCTTTAGAAAGTAGCCATAGCCTAAGTAGAAAAGTCTGTCCCCTGCCGGTATGCTGGAGGGAAAGGACCCTTGCTTACTACAGGGAAGCAGTGGTCTCCATGCAGATTTTTTTAGTCAGTATAATTTGAACGATCAGCAGTCATTTGCTCACTCAGTTTTCAGGCTTGGAGCCAGTAGGGGACAGCTGCAGCATCACGGTGATGCTGCAGCATGGAGGTGTGTGTGTTTTTTTGAGTTTTTTTAAAATGTTTTTTAAACCCCAAACTTCTCCTTCAACTGTCTTTTTGCTGTTCTCTGCAGGTCTTAGAACTACAAAATGCTATTGAGAATATAACTGCCATGTACAATAATGAGACTGTGATGCTAAAAGACATCTGCCTGGCTCCTCTGGCACCATACAATAACAATTGTACAATCCTCAGTGTTCTGAACTACTTCCAGAACAGCTATTCTGTCTTAAATCACACCGTGAGGGATGAATTCTTTGTTCATGCGGATTACCACACTCACTTCTTATACTGCGTACAGTAAGTGTTCTTTACTTTTGGTGCTATACTATGTTAGTGTTCATTGGCATCTTATTTTCTTCTGTTAGGCTTACCAATTTAAATGCATCATTTTTCAGGTTTTTGTGATTTCTTGTTTTTTTTGTATCGATTTTAGAGTTCTGGAAAAGTTACAATTTTTACTAGTGAGATTTAGCTGAATGCCACTCGTCAAACCTAGTAATGATTTGGATGGAATGAAATAACTGTTGTGGTAAAGTGGACCAGTTTACAGAATGGACTTTATGCATCTCCATGCTCCCAACTGTCTGAATATAGGGAGCACAGCCAGTGCTTTTATTTAGGTTTTGTGCTGCCCTAGGTAACACAAATTCGTCTCCCCCCCCCCCCCCCCCCCGAAATTGACTAGTAACACCCCTGCCCCGCACCCGAGAGACCCTTCCACTAACCCCCCCCCCCCGGCGACAGAGACAGACACTCATCTTCACAGCTCCAGGCATCCCTGGGAACGAGAGCCAGGCTCTGCATATACCATCAAGCAGCCCACAGCCTCTCTCAGATCCCACCTGTTTCCCATGGCGTGTGTCCCTTCTTCCGGGGGAAGGTGCTGCCCCCCTGAAAAATACCGCCCTAGGCAAATGCCTTTTTTGCCTTGTGGTAAATACGTCCCTGGTCACAGCTATACTCCTCCCAGCTAATGGCCGCTTCAAGTGAAGCATTGCCACAGAGAGTGTACATACCCCTGCGTAATTTTTAATTTGGGCAGTCTTAACAGTAGATGAGAGCATAAAGTGAAATTTAAGAAGATAAGTATATGAAGTCGTTCCTGTAAAGGTCACTTTGATCATTATGAGCAAAGTACAGGTTCATTTTAATAGGTTATTTTGGTTTCCAGCCAGAAGCTCAGTCACTGGAAACATCTTCCCATGTTTGCTATCTCCATCTGAATAGTCATCTTATACATGAAGACGCAGAGCTATAGTTTTGGCAAGTAAAGTAGATGTTCACAGCCTAGTCACCTTTTACCCCAGTTGCAGTAGTGCGCCAGGTTTCCCCACTTTTTTGTTTGTAATTTGGTGATCCTGGAACACATCTGCTGGTGCTGCTCAACACCTAAAATTGAAGAGTGCAAAATCTGGTGCAGCTCTGCATAGAAACCAGTCCGCTTCCAGGTTTTATTGTCAAAGCTTAATTGAACTAGCTGAAGTTAGAAGCTGATTGGCTACCATGCATAGCTGCGCCAGAGTTTGCGAGATCTAGTTTTAGTAAATCAAGCCTCATGCCTCGCACATGCAAACACACAAATCCTGATGTAAAACAAATAAATACCAGTAGCTTAGTGATTTGCCTTTAATTGAAGTTTAATGTATGTAGTTAAGCTTGGTTAGCCTTGTTTTTCCAGTTTTTGTTCAGTGCTAAATGTATAAGCCACACTATCTGGAGAAGTATCACTAAGGATTAGTACTAAAGGCATGGAGCCATTCATCAAGAGAGAGGCCACTAAAGATTTCCATTAGTTTTATGACAATAGTGATCTTGATATGACTGGTTACTGTGGGCAGTTACAATAAACCACCCCCAGTATGCATAAACATGTTCTCTAGCAATTTGCTCATGCATGTTTATGGAAGAATCTTCCAGCAGACAGATATTATCTGTACATGTGACTGACCTCTGATCTATTACTGGAAGCAGAAAAATCATTCCCGATTAGCATATAAACGTATAGCTTTCACAGGTACCTCTCCAAACTCCTGACATTTGATAGCCACTTTAGGGTCATCTCCCCAACTGGATTTAACTTTAAATGTACTTGTCAAATCTGTATGTTTATTGAAAGTAACAAACCGTTATTCATAAGAATGACATTATTTACCATTTGCCCTCATCATAATTCTCTTACCCACAGGTCACCAGCTTCTCTGAATGATACCTCTGAACTTCATGATCCTTGCCTAGGCACTTTTGGTGGCCCAATCTTCCCATGGCTTGTTCTTGGAGGCTATGATGGTATGTCACATTTGTGCACATGTATACATTTGTGTACTATTTATCTCCAGCTTATTCCCTCAGAATGTTTTTGCAGTTATTTATCTAATATGTGTGTGTTTAACAGACGTTATGTGTACATCTTTGCGGCATTCTAGCATGAACTGTCAAAGTTCATACATGAGCAGTATAACTGCTCAAGACTGAGGGCTACTGTTTGCTAACAAGAGAGAGCAGGAAATTTGATATATTTTTGGGTTGAACGTAAAATGCTAAGAGACTATTGGAGAATTTCAGTTGTTCAATATTTATGTTGTACCAGAATTATCAGTTCTGCACAATGAGATTATTGAACTCAAAATTTGTTATGTTGCAAAAATTGGCTCATATTTTGGATGGTGAGACTCTACCAGCTGCCATGTGTATTACGTTCTATATTAGGAAGCAGATATTTAAAGATTGCTGATAGAAACATTTCTTTTCTCTTGTACCGAAATATTTTTTTTTTATGACTGCAGAAATGTTAGATGGAAACTGGTTATTTTGCATTCCTAGCATAGTCTGTTTAGATGATCATTGTAATGAGACACCTAGATTATTCTGTGTACATGCCCTTATTGGCCACTTGGACATCATAAACTAAACTGGCGTAAGAGCCTTTTAGCTGCAGAAGAAACATTACTCTGGGGTTCTCTCTGTCCGTGTTAAGGGTTGATGCGTATTGCTCAAGATGAGTATTAAAGGTGGAGTTTCTTTTAGGAAAAAATAATATACGCATTTATTTTTGCAGAAAACAAGTGTGCATTTATTTATTTTTTTATCCCTACAGGAAACTACAAGGTATTGCAATCAATGGATTGCAGGTGCAATGTCAGGCTCCTGCACACTCTCCCCCTATCTTTCTGCCTGTTCCTTTGTATGCAGTTTTATACCAGTACCCTGTAACAGCAGTTGCATGGGAGAAGAATCCTTGCCTACTGTCACAGGGGAAGGGGATCAGGGGGAGAGGGGACAGGAGCTAGTATATGTTACTTGTTACGCCCTAAATACGGATATAACCTATAACATGTTCCATAAGGTGGATTGTTCTTTAAACATTTTATCAATTCTGCCAATCGACTTCCGCACAACCAGTCCGTCAGGCTTTTCCCAAATGATCAGTGCTGCCAGCTATAGTCGGCAGCACTGATCAGTGCATTCTGACAGCGAAGAGGTCTCCCCATCATCAAAACACAGTATCGCAGTGGGGGAATTGGGTTATTTTTGTTCGTCCAACCTGTTGGTTGAACAAAAAAATATGTATGGCCATCCTAAGTCATGTATCCTGTCATCTATGTGGCAGCTTAATTAGAAGGAGATTTTCACTTCGTTGAAATCTGTTTATAAAACTCCCTGACTAGTAACGTTTTCTGCTTCTGTCTTGATAAGTGGATAAATCTTCAAGCACAAATAAAAATATGGTTTGCTACAGTAGTCTTTGCACTGTCATCCTGAAAATGCTACTAGTCCATAGGGAAAGGGGCTTGTAATAACATACTAACAAAAAAGTTCTGTTTTATGGACTACCACAGACTAAGAAGTGTTTCAGTTCATGGCAGTCATGAAGAAGGATTTTTTTTTTTTTTAATCGCGTAGGATTGGTCAATACATGAGGCTCAAAAACGCATCAGATCTCAACAGGGAAAAATATCATGCTAGATATCTTTACTGATATGGACTGGGTAATGTGTTAGGAACGTAAGGATGTCCCATCTTTTGATGGAAATGAAAATTATCAACCTACAGAGGACTGAATTCAAAGACACCCCAAAAATCAAAGTGAAAAAATGATGCAGCAGGCCAGTCCATTTTGCTGAAATTTCATTGCAGCAACTTAAAATGGTACTCCAGTAGTTTGTATGGCCCCCACGTGCTTGCATGCATGCCTGACAATGTCGGGGCATGCCCCTAATGAGACGACGGATGGTGTCCTGGGGTATTTCCTCCTAGATCTGGACCAGGGCATCACTGAGCTCCTGGACAGTCTGAGGTGCAACTTTGTGGCATCGGATGGACTGAAACATGATATCCCAGAGGTGTTCTATTGGATTTAGGTCAGGCGAATGTGGGGGGGGCGTTCAATGGTATCAATTCCTTCATCTTCCAGGGACTGCCTGCATACTCTCGCCACAGGAGGCTGGGCATTGTCGTGCACCAGGAGGAACTCGGGACCCACTGCACTAGCGCAGGGTCTGACAATGGGTCCAAGGATTTTATCCCGATACCTAATAGCAGTCAGGGTGGCATTGTCTAACCTGTAGAGGTTCGTGCGTCCCTCCATGGATATGCCTCCTCAGGCCATCACTGACCCCCCACCAAAACGGTCATGCTGAACGATGTTAGAGGCAGCATAACGTTCTCCATGGCTTCTCCAGACCCTTTGACATGTGCTCAGGGTGAACATGCTCTCATCTGTGAAAAGCACAGGGCGACAGTGGTGGACCTGTCAATTCAATGACAAATGCCAATCGAGCTGTGCCGGGCTGTGAGCACAGGGCCCACTAGAGTATGTCGGGCCCTTAGGCCACCGTCATGAAGTCTCTTTCTGATTGTCTGGCGAGAGACATTCACACCAGTGGCCTGCTGGAGGTCATTTTGTAGGGCTCTGGCAGTGCTCATCCTGTTCTCCTTGCACAAAGGAGCAGATACCGGTCCTACTGATGGGTTAAGGACCTTCTACGGGCCTGTCAAGCTCTCCTAGAGTAACTGCCTGTCTCCTGGAATCTCCTCCATGGTCTTGAGACTTTCTGGCAATGGCACGTATTGATGTGCCATCCTGGAGGAGTTGGACTGCCTGTGCAATCTCTATATGTTCCAGGTATCGTCTCATGCTACCAGATGTGGCACTGACCCTAGCCAAATGTAAATCTAGTGAAAAACAGTCAGAAAAGATGAGTAGAGAAAAAAATGTCAGTGACCTCCACCTGTAAATCCATTCCTGTTTTGGGGGACGTCTCAATTTTGCCCATCTAGTGCACCTGTTGTTAATTTCATTAATACCAATGCCGCTGAAACTGATTAACCCACTCTGCTACTTAACTGATCAATATCCAAGGAGTTCAATTGACTTGATGCTATACTCTGATGAAAAAGTGTTCCTTTAATTGTTTTTCAGCAGTATGTGTGTATATATCTAAATCTAAATAGATCTATATCTCGAATAATGTTTGAAATACCGCCTAAATAAAGAGCTCTAAAATATAGTTGGATAAATTCCTTGCAATATAAATAGTTTGCTGCTTTTTAAGCAAAAGTTTCAGGCCACATGGGACACAAAGGTGGTCATTTAAGGTTGATAAGATTACAGAGAGGTTTGCCAGCCTTGGAAACCCTAAAACTGCCCTGCCACTATACAAAATATTTTCAGGCCGGCCATACCTGTAAAAGAAGTACATACTCCTCGTTCCTGCTGCTCAGGCTGCCAAACTTTCGTGGGATGCTCAGAACTCTACTGGATCTTGTAGGGAAATGAACATTTCAGGATTGTTGACACTTCACTGCTGTGTCTTTGTAACGGGTAGAAGTCAGAGGAAAGAACCAATAAAAAGTGGAGGGACCCAGGAGATCGGACGTTTTTTGGTTTCAATGCAAACTTCAGCAGTAGATTTCTCCACATTAGAGCACAGTTTGGAGTTGCTGACATCACAAAACATATGTCATGTCTTATTTTACAGCTATGGTCTGTCTTGTTTTGTCATGTTTTGTATAGTGACAGGTACAGGGTTGTGTGTTTCTACCCATGCACACAGTGTGTAGGAAGATAACTAATCCTTCTATGCAAGATTGGCTCCATAGGATGCTACAAGAAAAAGGAGCCACCCTGAAACAGGAAACCTGGGGTAACTGTCATGGCACCAACTTAAGCTGGATCATAGGCAAGGATTAAAAGATGAAGAAGCTACTGAAATTGTTAAAAAAAATAAAAAAAACTAAGGGTTTATTATCCCTTTAAATTACATATAAAATCCTGCTTCACATTTCTTTGATTTTTGTTTGAGAGAGTTCTGTGCAAAAATGTATTACACAGTTGAGAAAATGTGTTTAGAATTGCTTTCATTTGCTCATCATTGTCTGCAGTCTTGCATAGATCAGAATTTCACACCAGAATGCTTTATTTCAGGAGAGAATTATAACAATGCTACAGCACTTGTGATCACCTTTCCTGTAAATAACTTTTACAATGACACTGAGAAGATCAACAAGGCCAAGGCTTGGGAGAGCGAGTAAGTATGCGTTTGATGTTTTCCAATGTCATAGACAAGAGTGGCCTCTGCTCCAGATAAGTATCATGTACATGGCTGAGTTGTACTCGTAGCATTATGATCGAGCAAGAACCAAACATGACTCCTGAACCACAACCTAAAACCACCAACGTGCATTTTGATATTTACATATTGGTCTATGCATTTAAAGGGTAACTCCACTTCCATGGGAAAAAAATAGCAAATAAACAGTAATATAGTGTATACAATTGCAACACAAATCATATTGTAATGGAATGTTATTAAAAAGTACAGAATAGCCCCCAGAAATGTAATCTCCTGCCTGTGTGATTGGCTCACTGATTTTCCCAGAAGTTTGCAGTAATATACAAGTCAGGTTTTGAGCATCAC